AGTCATAGGATGATTTTAGGTCTTAACATCCATATGTTTTCTAATGCTACTAGAAACTAGAACATGAAATTTCAGGGACAAAATCTTTTGAAGGAGGTGATAACTTGTAATACCTATTTTCAATTAATATGTAATATAAACTTGGTATGCGTGTTATATTATTAATTTGATGATATCTCGTATAACAAGACTTGTTGTTACATAAGAACAATGAGTACAATTTATGGTTGGAAAGTAGCTTTTCATTTTTTACTTGTGACAGATGGAGAACTAACAAGAGGTGAAGTTGAATTAAAAGGACCACCGCCGCCCGACACTAGGAATGTCGTGGTGCGACTTTGCGGGCAATATAAAAATGAATAGCTCGACATTGTGGGTCATTTTGGTCGACTTCTCCCTCTTAAACACATACCAAAGGTGCAATTACACCCACTGACTTCAAGGAAGAGCCTGGAGAAAGAAGATTTCAAGTTCATATGCATTATTCTTTTGAATCAATGTAAGAAATCATGATCCTAACATCTATTTCTTCATTTTATGGTGAAATGTTGTGGTTTTGGTGAAACTAAGGGGAAATTCAAAAATATTTGATAGAGATGATCTTCATATGAATTGTAAGAACTTCTATAACTCAAGTAACATATATGCATGTAATATTTATGATGAATAAAAGAAGGAAATTGATGAACCCAATGTGGTAATCTTTTGCATGTATGGATTAAGATCATGAATTGATGAATTAGGTGATTTTAAGCTATTGAAAGTCATTATAATGACTGAATGAAGGAATTATTGAGAAGTTTAAGGGCTAAATGGAATCAAAACTGAACAGGTAAAGGTTTTGTGTTTGTCATCTTCAAGGGACAACAGTTAAAGGCACGTAGCGCGAACGACCACAAGGTGAGTAACTTTATATGCATAAAATGTTATGATGATGATAATTTGTATGACTGTATGCTTAGACTATGGGTGTTAGTTGTTATAATTGAAATGGTTATTGAAAAAAAACACTTCTGAATATTACATGTGGAACGATGGGAAACTGGTGAATATTACATGTGAAATACTTAGACATTTGTGAATGATACAAGTGAAATGTTTAGACGGTTGTGAATGATATAAGTGGAATGTTTAGATTCTTGTGAATATTACAAGTGGAATGTTTAGACGTTTTGGATGTTAAAAGTAGTATATTTATACTATATTTAAATTGATCACTTTGGTGTTGTTATTAATCAAACCAAATTATGAGTTATGTGTTTGTTCCATTGTTACACACTAAGCTTTTTAGCTTACAGTTGATTGTTGTTATTGGTTACAAGACCTAGTAATGTGGATAAAGGGAAAGGTGCCTTGGAGTGATCGTGATATTTATGCTTTTTCTCTTAAAACATTGTAAACCCACTTCGTCCTTAGCTGTATTTTGTATGTTTTGGATTTATGATAATTACTTGTAATGATGGTTTAATGTAAACGTATACCTTATTTTTCCTTAAAATGATGAATTTGTTTTAGTGTACTTTATGTTGAATGACCAACTGTTACATAAGCATCTGTAAAAGTAATTGTACATATAGTAAAAACTTCACCTTCATTAGAGTTATCTTGAGCCACAACAACATTGTTATTACTGATTGATCCAACATGGTGATCCCCTTTGTTCAATTGTGGACAACCTATTCTGTAGTGCCTCCTTTCCTTGTAGTTATAACATCTAATCTTAGTCGAAAGTTTAAATTTGGAACATGACTTCCCTCTGCTATGGCCACCTCTCTTACTTGTTCTTCCATTTCCTACGAATAAACCGGAACTATAACCAGCTTCCCTAACTGATACCTTTCATTTCACTTATTTGGACAACAAATAATCCTTCAAATCATTCATAGTAATCGTTTCCCTACCATACAACATGGTATCAATGAAATTCATATAAAAATTCAGCAATGAAGATAAGAGGATAAGGGCCTCATCTTTATCTTCACTTTACACATCAATACGTTGTAAATCAAAGATGATGCGACTAAATCTATCTAGATGATCTTTCGCATGGTAATTTTTGGATATCCTAAGAGTATGCAAATGTTGTTTCTGATATAGTCTATCCGTGAGAGAATTATTATGATACTTGTCACAAATTTTCTCCCTTGTTTGATCCACAACATCTCACAGTCCTACGTCTGTCAAACTCCACAAGATGGAAATATGCACTTTTTCCCGAATATCCACCTTCTTCTCATTAGCCATTTCTTTTGGCAATTTCGCTTCTTTTTTTGTTACAACCGCACAAACTTGTTGAACCATAAATGTCCTCATCTCCCCCTTCCAAAAAGTGAAGTCATTTGAACAATTGGATTTCTACAAAATCAAACATGAGGGTCGACATCTTCAAACAAAAAAAAAACAAACTGTAGGTAAGATAGCAGTTTTTATGAATCAGCCATTACTTGTCAAGAATCAAAGGAAATATGATGTTACTTGCCAAGCTCATATACCACTTGTTAGGAAGTAAAGTGGATAACTTACAAAAAAAACATACATACGAAGACATGGTATTTCCATGGTCCGGTCAAGGTGACCTACGTCCACATACATGAGGGAGTATTCTTATTCAAGAATTCTCAAACAGAGATTACAAGTACAACCCAACAGAGATTTTATCTACTCGCTAAGATTCAAGATACAAGACAATAAAAATGATTGCCACAAGGATCCATATTCATAGATTGAGGATTAGACCTAACACCCTAATGGGTCAGGCATATTAATTCTAAGACCCGAACAGATATGAACCAATCACATCACGCCATACAATCACCTATCAAGACTTCCACCTTAACGAATGTGCATGGCCACCAACCATGAACATGGGACGACATCACCATGCATGTAACACCTTATCACCATGAGTATATTTAGAACCAAGTAGTACTTCTATTCCAAGAGAACACCTTTACATCAAGAAAGAACCTTTAGTCCATGAGAGCATCTTCTAGAGGAACCATCGTATTTATACTCCTAGAGCGTATTCTCCAACACCAACGCTTTCATTAAGAGCGTACCCAGTGCGAGTAGGGGCGTCTTCAACGTATTGAGCGTATTCTCATTAAGCATAATCAACAACATCGTTTTCTTGATGCTTAACATACCAACAGATTCACCTCCAGATAACGCCTTCAAAGAAGGTCATAACGCATTCATGTAAGTGTCTAGTGCATTCCGACAATGCCGTAGCGCATTTTGATACTCCAGAATGCTCCTTCATAATTCTTCATCAGAATGCTCCACCTTATGTTAGAATGCTCCGATCAGGTAACCGGTCTAATAACCGGATAAATTTGTGTCTGAAATACCATATTCCGGATGATTTGGCCATTTAAAAAATAAATTAACATTTGATAAGGATTGTTTTAATCCATATCCCTACTTTTAGTTTACAAATTTTTCTAAAGAATATCTTGACATAATGAGCCTATAAAAAACTCTTCTTAAATAGTAACACCATTTCCAAAAATAACCGCATAACCACTGATTTCTAAAAGATAGTAGAATTTTCGAAGGTACCATTCTAGATGTTATTTTCGAACAAGACGTTTTCGAAAATGTAGTTGTTTTGAAGTGTTGCCCTCAATTTAAGGTGATTTAGTTTTCATTCATAACCACGACTTTAAAAAAAAATTCTTTGAAAATCATATAGATATGTTAAGCTGAGTTTTTCCTTAAGAACATCTTGAAACATATAAGACTCTGAAAAACTGTTTTTATAGAATTGTTTTACCCAATTCAAAGTTCGTTATTCTTTCTCTATAGTTTTTGACAAAAAAATATAGCCCTTTATGTTAACGGACTCCCACCAACAACAAGACTTAAAGGTCCAACATAATCTTTTTGTCGGCGTTCTTTGCCAATCTAGGCATTGGAATTATATTTTGTCAAAAGACCGACTCATCCAAACTATGTCCGTCTGTGAAGATGTTCTTATTCATTTGCGGAATCCATAAGATGTTGGATAAACAATAATGATTTTTCTATCTCTTGTTTCGATAGTCTTTCGGGTGAAAGTGTATTGGAGATTAATCTTTAATTTGAATGGATAGTCTTTCGGGTGAAAGTGTATTGGAGATTAATCTTTAATTTGAATGGTTATTAAAGTTGAGAAAATGGTGTCTAAATCACCAAATACATCTCCTAAAAAAACAATGTCGATTGGATGAAGCTAGAAACAAGTAATCAAAAGCGGGTGGCCCTTATTTGATCCTCAACATCCTCCGTTTAAGCCTCCAAGTCTCACGATTCCTTAAATTTCGCACATTATTTATGTTTGTTTTATTGAGAATATCAGTTTTCATGAATTTGTGAATAAGAGGACTAGAACCCTCAACTTTTGGATGAGGAGCATCTGATCGTTCAACTCCCGATACCGCTTAATTAGGTGACTTTTAGTGTCTCAATTTGCAACTTTCCAAAACTTGGTATATGTATCAAATTTAACTCCTATATAAATCGTCTATATAAATGGATTTTAATTTTTATAAGCATTTCAAAGACAATCTTGGAATCAATCATAATTATTCCTTTTGAATACCTTTTTGTTTTATTTATGCGTCAATAATAAAGCTCAGTAGAGAAAATATTCTCAATGTAACAACCATAATTCTTTACTAATTTCTCACTGTCTCTTTTTATACGAATATTTTAGCAATGGATTCGCTACTATTCTTGCACAGATAATCACTTTATTATTCAATTTTTCTATATTAATCAATATACTCACTTTTCCTTGTATACGGAAAGGGATTGGACTGAAAACAAGAAAACTAAGCTTATATCTTTTGTCAAATCTATGATAAAAAACTTATAGATGACTACGCCAAAACGCAATGCTCCTGAGTCCTGACCTACAAGTATTGGGAGGGAATGTTTGTCTCTCTAAAATGGTGACAAATGCATCTCCACATTTACCAAAATATTTGGAGGACACGTCAATAGTTCGGCATATGGAATCATGAAACATGCAATCGAGAAGTAAGATCTATAAACGCTTCTTCTTCGCAATGAATGGTTAGGCCTCCCATTGGATGGTCAAACCCAAACTCATCTTCAGATTTATGCAATAGATCTTGAAATTGAGGCTGTTCCAAGAACGATATCGGAACCACGAATCTTGTCTTCTGAATCTCTCCCACGTACACGGCCATATACCCCTTTGGGACATCTGAAAGGCTTCGACTGCAAACTGACTGTAATCTGCTAAACTGTTTTGCATTGGCAATCAAAGATGGAAGTCGAATGATGCCCATCTTGAATATTTGACACAGAAATTATCGATTGGTTTCTTTCCTTTTAAAACTGAAAAATTATTGTTGAGCTTAGTATTCGAAGGCGGCCTGACACTTGTATTTATAGAGAAGTGGTTTGAATAATAGGATACCAAACATGGAAATTTGTTTGAGTAATCATGTTGTGGGTTCCACCAAATGTGAAACCTAACGTGGCTTTGCTCATCTTTTTTGAATTTTAAAAAATCTTGTTTTATTAGTGTACGCTGGACCTCAACATTTTTTATTTGATCAACTTAATTGTTAAAACACTTGCAATAACGAACTTGATGTTCATGTATCTCTGTTAAATTAATTCAGATTCCAACATAAAGACTTTTGAGATGATTCTAAGTTTCAATGACGCTGTGTTTCTATCAATTTTTTGGAGTGTAATGAACATTGAAGAAAATAAATTAATAACCTTATATTTTTTTTAGAACGGCAACTATATAACCACTAGCGAGAACCTAAGGAACAAAACAAAAAGGAGATTACAAAGAATTAATAGAGAGGATGGGTTATGTAACCAACCCACCCAATTTAGTTTAGTGCTCCTACTCCTATTACTAACCCATATAAAGGATTGGGTAGTAATTTTATCAAACAACTCATGTTTAAACAACTTGTGAGTATTAAAAATAACAAGAGTTTCTAAAACCCCAAATGAACCACCAAAAAGTGAAAAAAGTGGCCTCCAAATAATCTTTCATCGTGGAGTTAGCCTTCAAAACCAAGAACCAATCAGACCAATGCTGGAAAGAATCACCAGGAGCTCTTGAAATGTCCCGCCAATGACAAAACAAGTTTAAAAGCTCCCGTGCAAGCGAGCACCGAAAGAAAAAATGAGAAGAAGAATATGTGGCACTTTCACAAATCGGACACATAATAGAAGGAATCTCCAAGCTACAAACTGAAAGATTTAATTGGAAGGGTAATCTAACAAGAATTAAACGCCAAATAAAAACATTGACCTTGATTGGAACCAAATGGTTCCAGCAAGTCTGAATAGGGATCGCAGACAGCAAAACCTTGTCAATGTAAAAGCGAGACGAAGAAACAGAAAAATCGCTAGAGCCCTGTAATGTCCACGACCACCTATCAAACACAATAGAATGTATTAACCGAGTCATATCAGTCCACTGTTGACTCATTGATTTAGTTTAGCATGAACAGTTGACTCCTTGTCATTATCTAAAGAGAACACCCGATGGAATCTGGTTCGGAAAATCGAATCACCTAACCATAAGTCGGACCAGAAAGAAGTAGAAACACCATTGCCAATATGTTTGTGACAACAGTTCATAAGATCAACACCCTTGTCACGCAAATCTTTAAAAGTCTTCAAGATGGAACCCCAAGGACAGCCGGAGACCCGGCAAGGCCGAGAATAGCCAAGTAAACTCGAGACACCATGAATCGCTACAATGGTTTTTGCCCATAGAGCAGTAGGATTAGCACAGAAACGCCAAACCCATTTAAAAAGAAGTGCCCGATTTAGAGCAAATAAGTTGTTAATTCCATGACCACCACAATCCTTGCTAGCCATGACCTGCTTCCACCTGACCCATGTCATTTTCATCTCTTGTAAACTAGCTCCTAGAAAGAATTTGTTACGCAATGACTCTAAGTGTGAAAGAAACTTTGTTGGAGCTTTAAAAGTCGATATAAAATAAGCTGGGAGAGATCCCAAAACCAATTTCAAAAGGATCAATCTGCCACCAATAGAAATAGATTTTGTTTTCCATTTAGAAAGTTTGGTGGTAACTTTCCTCAGAACCTCAGACCAGGCATCAATACAGGACATATTACCTCCCATCGTGACAAGGTAAGGAAAAGGTGCCTTCGTAAAATCACATCCCATACTAGTCGCCACTTGGTCAACCAACGAAATCAGAACCCCAATACCAAGAATCTTACTCTTCTAAAGATTGATCTTCAAGCCATAAGCTAAATAAAAACACTAAAGAATAGAATTGATGTTTGACAGATTAGAATCTTTCCACTCGCCAATAAATATCGCATCTTCTGCATAAAAAAGATGTCAAATAATAATAGGATCATTCCTGCCAATCGAAATTCTAGAAAAAAAAAAGATTGTTGGACAGTGCATTCTGAAAAGCAATGTGTAATGTTTCCATCACTAGAATAAAGAGGAAAGGAGACAACAGATCACCCTGTCTCAAACCTCTATAAAATTGGAACTCTGGAGTGGCCAACCCATTCACTAGAACTGACTCATAGAAGATCTTAAACAACCTTGAATCCAGTTTCTCCAACGAGATTCGAAGCCGAACTTTCCCAGAACTCCATCCAAAGAATCCTGTCGAACTGTGTCATAAGTCTATTTGAAGTCAACTTTAAAAACGTTGCAAGACGACTTACACCATGAATAAACTTCATTAAGAATAAAAAGATCGTCTAAGATCTGACGACCCTTAATGAAAGTCGACTGCTCAATACTGACAAGATGATCAATCACCATAGCCATGAGATTAGCCAAAACTTTGCCAACAATCTTAACTGGCAGCCAATAAGGCTAATAGGCCGGAAATCCTTAACAAATATAGCATCATGAGTTTTTGGAATTAGAGCAATGAAAGAACGGTTACATCCTCTCGGGAATATCGATGATTGAAAGAACTCTAGGATAGCCGAGATCACCTCTTCTTGTAAAAGATACCAAAACTTGCAAAAAAAATCGAACGTAAAGCCGTCAGGGCCCACCGTTTTATTTGATCCACGGTCCCAAACAGCCCATTTAATTTCTTCATGAGTGACAGGCCTATCTAAATCAATACTCTGATCAGTCATGTAAGGATCAAGGTTCAGGTAATTACTCTTTTTCCCCTGAAATGAAATTTCTTTGCAAAAGGGCCCCAACGTACGATGGGCGTACAAAGGTGTACGCTTGGCGTACTGGGCGAAGTTGGTCGCGGGTGTGCACAACGTACGCTGGGTGTACCAAGCAGTACGCGGGGCATACGTGGATGAGGACTAAAACCATAATATTTGGGCTTGTGACCTATTTAAACGTCCTTAAGTCATTTGGACCTTACCCTAACCCGCCTCCATCACTCTCAAACGTCCCTAAAACCCTAAAATCCTTTGTTTTTGCCTCTTGAGCTTGTGAGTGCCTCAAATACCTCCTTTTTGGTGTTCTAGCAAGGAGAAGGAAGTGGAAGCAAGCCTTGGACGTAGAAAAGCTTTTGGATCCTGCATTTGGAGCTCATTGGGAAGCTTGTGGAGGTAAAAAGCTCAAACCTTGCCATCTATTTTTGCTAGTTTTGAGTTAGGGTTTTGTTATGAAGACCATTTTTGGTTTTTAGACCCTCTTTTGTGAGTTGTGCAACTCTAGCGGCTAGGATTGTTAGATCTAAGCTCCTTGAGAATGCTTGATGCATAAAGTTGCCATCTTGAAGGTTATATTGAGACCATGAATTAGTCTACGATCTCAAATGTGGTTTTAATGGGAGAAATGAAGTATTGGGGACCCATGTGGCATGCAAGGGCATAAAGTTGCCAACTTTATTCCCTAGGACATTTTAATAGACTCATATATGAAGTTAGACGTTGAAATCTTAAGCATTAAGCACTTAATAAACTTTTGTGCATGGGCTGGTTGTACGTTGGCTGTAAGGTCATGTACGCAGCGCGTACGGCCAAAGGGTCGAGTATGCTAAGCGTACATATGTGGTACGATCGGCGTACGCACCACAGGAGAGTTAGGCTTCGCTGGGCTTGCCTTATTCAGCCTTTGGGCCTTATTCAGCCTTGGGCCTGGTCCTATTCAGAGTTATTGGACTTTTGTTCTAGTTGGCGCACTGATGTCATGTTTGGGCCTTATTGGGCCATGTGGCCCATTGTAGTTTGGAGTTTGATCTTGGACCCATTAATGTATGTTAGACATTTAGGCTTTAATTGTGGGCCTTAGATTAAGATATTGGGCCTTTGTCTAAGTTGTGGCTCAATTCTAATTAGGGTGTTCTGTATTTTCAGTGTGAGATTTTCGGCTAGTAGTCGAGCAGCTTTTGTGTTCAGCAAACTGAGGTGAGTCTTCTCTCTATACCAATGGGTCGAAGGCACCAATGTCGGCCCATTACTTGATGTGAAATCTCTATAAATGATTATGCAATAGCCTATTATTTCTTGTGTCTTGATTTATGTGAAGACTGTGGCACCTGGTAAGACCATGAGGGGGAACCCATGGCACTTGGGTATAAGACCATGGGGGTAGCCCATGGCATCCCGGTTGAAGACCATGGAGGGAGTCCATGGCAGTTTTATGTGTATATGTGCATGACATTATATGATTATGTGATATGTGTATTTTAGGAAACTCACTAAGCGTGTGCTTCCGGTTTTGTTGGGTGTTTCAGGTACTTCTGGCTCTAAGGGCAAGGGCTCGGCTTGCTGGCGCAACATGCACTCTCCAGTACTCCGCACTAGCTGTATTGTATACTCTGATCTTTTTAAAAATATGTTATGTAATGGAATTTTGGATAACAAATATGAATGAGATTTCTAAGTATTAAATGAAAAATTTTACCTATGTTTTTGGGCTGTTAGAAGTTGTTATCAGAGCCTTGGTTTGAGCGATTTGGGTACACTCCCGGGTGTGTCAGAACTCAAACCCGAGGAAATGGTAAACGTTTTTTTTTCACATGAAACCAAAAGTTAAAGTTTTTCTTGAAAACATTATTCTTAAGTAAAAGGAGGAAAGTGCAACGTGCGTAATCGGCCGAGCTCAAGTAAGTATTCCCAATGTATTATCCATGCTGATTTATATTTAGAAATTGATGTTAAATTGATTATTTGCTAAGTGTATGCTTTCAAAATTGTATATGTCTAGGATTGCATAGCCCTATAATGATGGATTTTGCCTTATTAATGTTCCTTGTTTGGTTGTGGTTTAGGGCAAAAGCTTTATTTGACAGTCTATGTGATTCTATTTGTGTATAACTTGCATTCATAGGGCAACC